TCGAGAGGAAAAAGAATTATAATTCTACATGCTGGAACTAAGAGCGGGTTTGTACCTAATGCCTTGTTATTATCGGCCAAAAACATTAAACAGTCATCAGCTGATTATCATGAGGATATGACGGCTGAACTTTTCGAAAAATGGGCAACGGAACAGCTGTTACCGAATATTAAAACAAATTCCGTGATAGTAATGGACAATGCGTCATACCATTCTAGACTCTACACCAAAAATTCCAAATACTAGCTCCAAGAAGGGAGATATCATAGAATTTATGGAGAACAAAGGCATGGCAACACCTAGTAAATGTACCAAAAAGGAATTGTTGCAATTAATTAAGCAACAAAATTTTCAAAAAGAATATGTAATAGATAAACTCTTTGAACGCCACGGGCATACGGTTTTTACGGCTCCCTCCATATCATTGTGTTTTCAACCCAATTGAAATGATATGGGCCGATGTAAAAAAGAAATTGCGGAAAATGAATCAATCTCCCCAATTAAGTGACGTTGTTGTCCAAAATATAAGAACAGTGATCGAAGAACTTAACAAAACTGACATTTGGAAAAATTGTGTAGCGCATGTTCAAGTAAAAGAAAAAGAATATCCTACTTTACCACCAATTGAACCGGTAGTTATAAACACAAACGACGACTCAAGTTCTGGACACACGGATAGTGATAGTGTTTAATTGTTTGAATATTTCTACAAAGACTTCCACAACTTGTCAAAAATATGTTCTGTGTATCGAAGTAAATGTGATCTCTCCATTAATCTATAACCTAAGAGACAATTCGACTGGAAGACGAATTGGCCGATTTCATGTAAGTATCTTTCAAAAATAAGCTCTTTAAACCGATGAAACTTACAGATCATATTCATGATTATTTTTTACCAAAAAAAGGGATCAACTTTGTTTTGAGCGTAACTTGCTTACATTTGATGCTAGAAACTTTTTTAAAAATCAAAAATAAAGATTTCTTTAAAACAATTAAAAAAAAAGTAAAAAAACATTTTTTTGATTATTTCACGTTGAATTATTCGATATGGAATTTGACGAATAGGTAAGAATCTATTTTTCATTAGCTATAACTCTGCTTCTGCTGGGTTATACAGACTTCATACATATACCATTGTTTTTACTTTTTTATAAACTGTATTTTTGCTACGAACATTTTTTCCATAAAATACTTACCTTTTGAGTTATTTGCGAGAAATCGTCCAAAAACGTGGTGTTTTTGTTGAAAAATGAATATATTCACTCGCAAATAACTCGAAAAGTATTGATTTAGTAAAAACCTCTATAGAACAAAGTTGCCTAGAATTAGTCAGTTTATCCACTTCCGGACTTATTTTGGATGTATATCTTTTCACCCCCGAGAAGGTGCGGTACCCACCCCAGGGCAAAAATACACATCGGCACAATATCACTTTTTTCTTTGACACGTTAGCTATATGTGTATGCCAAATTTCATGTCAATCCCAGTGGTTCTTTAAAATTTAGAGGTTTTTACAATATTTTACCGTTAGTGAATGGACTATGTGTATTAACTTTTAATCATCTTTGGTGTCAAGTTCATAAAGAAATGTGAATAATTAACAATATTATTACTGTTTAACAAAATATTAGACCTTAATTTAAAAATAAAAGTTTATTATTTAATTTCTATTGCGCCGCCTATGTTTTACAAAGACGCCGGCACTTGAGTGTCGAATTTTGTTTTTATACTTGTCCAACTGACATCGTAGTAAACTATAACTGTCAAATATTAATGGAACCACGAAAAAATAAAAGCTGTTGCTTTTAAGTATTCGTTTTCTAACAATTTTATCATATAGTACATTTTACTAATTTGCGACAATTTTGGATTAGGGATGAAAGCTTGACTCAAACGGTACGCTGTGTTGAGAAAGTTAATAGCAAATTCTAATAAAAATTTAAACCGCGTGTCAAAGACGACTAAAAATACGGTTTTAACTGATAATGTATTTTACATTAATTTAGATGAATTGTAACATTATAAACGTCACATCTTTATTAATTTATATTTAAATAATTATTTATTTTATTTCTTTATTAATTTATTAATTCCCTATACTTTCAGTTTTTTTTTACTATTTTTTCTTCAAAAAATAAGTGGCGCCCTCTCTCTTTCTATCCGGTAGACTAAATATTCTGTTCTATTTTGATAGAAGAGCTAATTCCATCATAGACATATTATGTTCTACGGCATATGTGCTATACTTCATTGTAGCCACAACTTTTGTCATAAGTCCCCACTATTTCAGTCTAATTACGCTTTTCTAACGTGGTGGTGTATTTTATTTTTGTGTGTAGTGTAAGTTGTAGTTGTGTGTAACCTATATTTTATAATTCTGACAGTATTTTCAATATTCATAACCTCACTTCTTCAAAAGCCACGTTTTAGATTTTATACATGTAGGAATCTTACAAAACTAATTTTAATAATAATTCTATTTCACTTTATCCTAGCCATCTGCTATTTGTTTCATTGTGATTTTGTAAAATAATTTGCAAGGAAGTTAATCCCCTTTGATGTCTCTCTCATACACCCTGTGTTATATTCTAGTTTATGGGATACTTTATTGATAAAACTAATTTCTGCTTCTCCTTTCGGAGTAACCTCCTGAAAACATCGTCGTCGATGGATTAACCACATATAAAACCAACCAACTAAGACTGCAGCTTCAAGACCACTCAAATGGCAAACACCTAAGACCTACCCACATAATCTGGAGACAACAACATCCTATACAGAAGCAAGCAACCCATCGATGCCAAAAGTATCATTTCATTTTATTGTAAAGCAATAGACAGGGTTTGCTTGTGCAAATTAAATATTAATATTTTGTTTTCAACAAAACCCCGACACGGCGCGTCCCAGTGGCTGATAGGGAACGTTCCTGTAGATATGCAGGACAGGTGCGAATAAAGTCCAACCAAATAAGTACCCGTGGATCAATTGAAGGCATGACATAGGGCAACAGCTATGTCATTATTCTATACAGATCTAGTGTAAATTACTCACAGGTGACTACATCTAGTTCAACCGACTGTGAGACTGCGATCAGTCAGGCAACGGGGAACCATCTGATCATCTTCCCAGAGAGCGTTTACGCCACTACCATTCTTACGAAGGAGAAAAGATTGAGGAGGAGGAGGGATTTTGTTTTATGCTAAATAAATATGATTAGTTAATTCATTGTTTTATTTGTTACCAACTGAATTTTCATTGTTTAATTCATAGTTTAAGACAAAACGGATTCAAACTTGAGAGACTGAGCTCGGCAAATCATAGACGATAAGCTCCCATAGTTCCCAACGCCTGTTTACGGGTTGAAGGATGCCATATCGTTACACATTTGCGGTAAAATGTGCATAGCTCCGTCGCAAAGAAACCACATTTCACGGCGTATTTCCAAGCACGTCTTCAAGCAGTACCGGCAAAACATTTTGTAAGAAATTATGGTAGGCCTCTCCATTTAGTGTTCTTGGTAATTCATATGGTTCTATCAAACGATTGTTAATTATTCCAGTCCTTAAATTTGTACTAAATATTCGTTGAAAATTTATCCTGCGTATTAAATAATGGTTCTCGTCACCCCATTTATACACACCGTTTCTTGTAAAGCATGCTTCATCCGCACATAACACTTAAGATGAATTCAGGTTCTCTAGCGACTCGTGACACCACCTACAAAATGTTAATTTTAGAGGAAAATCAACTTGTAAATCTTGTAATCTTTGATAGTGGTATGGATGTAGAAGTTGTTCCATAAATGTTCTATGAACAACGTTTTTTAACATTCCAACATACATAAATTCCCGACATAAATTTGGACAGCTATATTACTGTTAGAATACGATTCTCCATAAATAATCAACATATCATGGTAGTTAGAAATCGAAAACATTTTCGACACTAAACACGATTGTTCCAAAATATCTGTTTACTAAAGTTGTGACTGTCTACGTTTAGATTTTCGTACTGCACGTAGTTGACAGATTTCTTTTTGCATACCAAATATTTTGTTTTTTTATCAAACCCTTGGTTCACCTAGGTTTTTTGGTTCAACTCCCAAGGTTTGTGATGTCGCTACAGTAAGTATGAGTTTCTCCGAATTGGCAAAATCTCAAGTACATGGCTATGAGAGATTCAATAAATATATTCACTTATTTAGTCTCACCGAGTATATAGGTTATATATATTATATAATATATATATATATATATATAATATATATATATATATAATATATATTAAATTAAATGTCTTTAGGACATTCAAAAATTGGGCGAAACTTCATTAAACCTTACAAAAAATCATGTTTTTCATGGTTTTAAAGGTTTTTGGTGGGGTAATCATATCTTTTGAGATCGACACAACCTGAATCAATTTTCTCATATTTTTATTTTTTATGTGATTAAAAAATAATATCAAATCGCCTAAAAAAGATAGTTTATCAGATTTTTGAAGATGGCGCAGCATACAGCAAATCTGAAAAAAATCAGATATAATTTTTGATCAAATACACAAAGTAAAAAAAATTGGACTTGCAGCCACCTAAAAAAAAGTGATACGCTTTTTTTTAAATGCATTTCTAGGTTATGTACACTCAACCTTAAAATTTTTAATTGATTGCATCCCAGCTAAAAATAAAATAAAAACAAAAAATTCACGGTTTTAGGGATAGAGGGTGGGGTGAATGGAGTGGTGGGCTAAAATTGGGCTGTCTTATTTTTTAATCACATAGAACATAAAAAAATCAAACAAATTGAATTTGGGAGTGAGATCATTTTGCCTATCTTAACGATTGATTAATTATGTATTTGATTATTGTTGGACAAATGCGTTATATTTTTCCAATGCATCAAATTAATGTCAGTACCAGATTTATATAGGGACCTACAATATCTTGTGTATTCTATTTCGATGCTATTTAGTGCAATACTTTTTTTACTATATATTTTTTTTAGAATAGTAGTGATGCAGAAGGACGTCTAGATACTTACCTAAATATTTACTCAGGGGAGGAAACAGAAGAACTGAACATTGAAAATATAGCCCAAAGTTGTCTCAATGTCGAACTTAGTTTTATTCCTTACAAACTGTTACACATGTACTTGGTAACTTTCGATGAAGACAAAATAATAAATAAAGAGGTATGTGTACGGTTGCTTAAATATTTCAAATGTAATATACTTTTACTTACGTGGAAACAAAAATAGAGATGTATCTCTATTTTTAAGGTCTATTTTGTGGAATATTTTAATAACGGATTGCTAGATTTTTACTTTTGCTCATTCATTTTCCTAGATTGCTTACACTTCACATTATACATGTATTTATTTGTTACAATAATGGACTAAAAACCCAATATTATATGAAAAAATGAAATACTCGACAATAACATATCCCTTCTTTTTTGAAAAGCTCTTTTGATCATTTTAACTGATTTATATGGTTTGTGATACGATGAATCCAAAAATTGCCGCAGTACGTCATGTTTTTTGAAAAATTATATATTTGTTTTTCCAATGATATAACTCGAATGAGATATAAGTAGTGCATAAAGAAATATGTGAAACCATGTTTATTATTTTGAAGATTTATTTTTGAATTCAAATGAACTTGAAATTTACCTAAAATCGTTTCTTTATTGTGAGGCTCCTCTTTCCCATTTTCGCTTATAAATACTATCTGAAATGTCCCTGTGTAGCATCCAACAGTAGGCTATTATTGTTGTGCTCCATTTTCTTGATATCTTCTTTCCATCTGTTTTATATCTTAATGAAAACCTTCTCCTACAGCTCCGAAATTCGTTGAACATCTAGGTGGGAGTGCAGAAAATGAACGCTTATGCTCGTGTCATAAACCGAAACTTGAATTGTCTGTAGGATTCTTTTGACTATATTTTTGCAATCATGATCTTTATTATTTAACATCCTTAAATGCGAACGATCCTTCTCTCTTCGAGATATATAATGGTGTTGGCAAACTCCTTATCGGCTAGAAGTCTTCTGATATCTGGCCCAACAAATATACCTTCCTTCTATTTTGCTCCAATTTTTTAACCAAGTATTTGAAACATTCTCCGTCTTTTGGAAGAAATTGGAAAAACTGTTTCTTAAGGTCTTCCGTCTTTTGGGGGAGATATACAAACTGCTTCATAAGGTCTAGCTTTATATGAAGGCGGAAGAAGATTTTTTCTGTTGGTAGCAAGTTTTTTTACAGTACGTTGTTTGAGCCAACCGCAAGCGTTTTTGGTTCTCAACTGTCCAATAAACGTAGATTTTTTCGGTCTCGACTGCCCATAGACATAAAAACAAGGAAAATTTGTTGTATAACCAGCTTGTTGCTCAAGCAGCATACACAAGATCTTCAAATCACCGCACATTTGCCAACCGTGATCTTCATAATTGAGTTTTTGAAGAATCATTGTAAGTTTTCATAGGTCTCTTTCAAAAACACGTAATGTCCAACAGGAATAGAAGCATAGAAACACCGTTATGGAGTAAAATTTCGCTTAAGCTGCGCTTCGATGAGTCCATAAATGTCCATGAGTCATACTGGATTTTGAATTGAACCATCAAACCTTTAATGTCACTACAATAAACTAGATTTAGTTCTTGGGAGAAATAAGGCACAAAACCAAGCAAAAGAGTCTCCACTGTTAGTAATAAATGTCTACTCTTGAGTCGGGATCCAAGCAACGTAGCAAAATCTTTGGGAGGATCCAGGTCTTTCACCAAATCATTTATTTCTTCCTAGTATAACAATTTAGGTATCATTTTTAAAGTCAGAGCTTGAGTCCTGATCGTCCGTTGGTTGTACTTCACTTCATGTCATCGGCATCTCTCCTAACGTAGCAGGGGACTTTGGCACAGATATTTCTGCTCTCGTTGATTTCCTTCTCTCAATCTATGAGAACCAATATGTTCTCCTTCTTTTTCGTTGCCTATTTTTGCATTGAAATCTGCCATGACTACAATGAGTTCGTGTTTTGGTATATATTTTAAAGTCACTTTGTTTTTTGTTCTGATTGAGCCATAGTCTCCACGTATCAAGTGTATATCCTTCTTTTAACAGGGATTTCGTATGTTAACGACCTGGGAGGCTTTGTGGTTATGGGAATAATCTCTACAGCCGGATCTTGGTCGCCGATGTTCATGATCAGTAAGCGAACTTGCTTTCTGTTGTACAGCCATTATGATCGTACTATTTATAGGGATCTTTAATGTAGTGGTTTCTCCTTGCCTTCTATATTCTTATGCCCTTGACCAAATCGCTGATTCTTCCGCCTTTGGGGCGGGTTGCTTAGCCCAAGAACATAAGAGTGCCATACCACCTACCACTTGTCCGCCCCAAGCCGCCTATACCGGCCATCTCTCGGGCCCTATCTGCGTCAGCCATCAAAATGGATGTTGCCCGCTTTCTACCATGTGTAGGTGAAGATTCGGATTTTTCCTTCATCTAGATTAAGACCTTTCGGATTTCCTAATCCCTCCGGGGTGTTAGAAGACAAAAAACACTAGGAAAAATTCATACATTATGTCTTACATACATGTTTATTTTTAAAGGATAGTTCAGTAAACTTTACGAATTCAAAAGCCATAATTAAATTTTTTGTAATTTTCAAATAATGTTAAATATAAATTTTATATTGGTTTCCGCACCGTGGCTTGGTCTGAAATTTTTTATTTCTTATGTTTTGCCTGTGAATGCGGCCTGTTGATTTTAAGTACACAATATAAAATCATCATCATCAACCTGTATGCGTCCACTGCTGGACATACGTCTCCTCAGCTCTTTCCATCTGTCTCTGTCTTGTGCGGCTTGCATCCAGTTATTGCTATATCCATCTGTCTTGGTCTTCCACTCTAAATACGTTTTGTCCATCGGTTGTCTGATACTGATGTGTCGACGTGTTCTGCCCAATTCCATTTTAACGAAGCGATTTTTTCGATGGCGTCTTTTGTTTTTGTTCTACGACGTTTGGGTAGTATAGGTACGTATTTCTTCGTTTGAGATTCGGTCTCTCAGAGAGACACCCAACATCTGGCGCTCTGAGTCACGCGAATCTTATTTACTATTTTTTTTGTGAGTATTGTGAGCTGTGGCATTTTGGTAGATATATTTGATTATGTTAGTGTAGCAATGGTCTATTCGGCATTCTGTCAATGCTTTTAACATGCCAATGGTTTGTTGTATTCTGCAGACTTCTCTATCAGGTTCTTTATCACTAGTGGTCATAGTCACAAGTGGTCGTTAGTGCTGTATCCCGATCTAAATCCAGCTTGTTCTCTAGGCTGATAGAAGTCTAATTTAGCGTCCAGTCTTTTTTTGATAATTTTTGTGAAAAGTTTATATATGTGTGAAAGCAAACTGATAGGACGGTAGTTTTTTAGATCTGTTATGTCTCCTTGTTTATGTAATAAAATAATGACTGTTCCATTGTTCCATTGAGAAGGAGTTTTTCCTTGGTAGATGCATTCGGTGAAAAGCTTGGCTAAAGCCTGGATAATTTTATTTCCACCTAGTTTGATCGCTTCGATCACTACTCCGTCATCGCCAGGGGATTTGTTATTTTTCATTTCTAAAAGTGCCGTTTTCATTTTCTGGCATTAATTCTGATCCCTGGTTTGTGATTTTGGGCAGTTCGTCGGTGCTCTCATACATTTCGCGATAAAAGGATTTGATAACCTTAAGGATTTTGGTTCTATCAGTAGTAATGTTTTCATCTTTGTTTTTTATTTTGTACATATTTTGTTACCTATGTTGTTCGTAATTTGTCTCAAAACTTTTAAACTTTTGTTTTCTTGAATTATTGTAGTTATTTCTCTTGAAATGATTTTCTTACATCTTTTCGGATTGACCGGTGGATATCTTTATTAATTTCTTCATTGTTGTGTAGTTGGAGTCGTATTTTTCCGTCAACTGTCATCTTTTACCTATTAGCTCTTTGGTATTTTGGCTTAGTTTTTCTTTATGGGTCAGAACAGTCGGGCAGTACTCCCTTTCCGTTTCTTTTAGAGCCTTCATTATGCCATCATTTGCTTGATCTTCATCTTCTGTTTCGTCTTGCAAGTCTTGTATATGTCTGGTTAGTGTATATTCATACAGGTCGTTGTTTTCTGGGGGAATCCATTTCTTTTTTCTTCTTTGTAGGATCATCTTTGTTCTTTCCAATTTGACACTTCATAATATTTTAGCTCGGATTAATCTGTGGTCGCTTCCTATTGAAAATTTGTTAGTACTTCATTGAGTACTTCAATGTCTTCCATTATTTCTTTTCTGTTTGTTATGATATAATCTATTTCATTTTTGACACTCCATAATTAAGTCGCCCATAATTATTGTGTAATATGCTGGTGTGGCATGTATACGCTGTTTCTAGGTCTTCATAAAATTTTTCAAGTTCTTCATCTGAGTGGGTAGTCGTTGGAGCATATATCTGGATTACCTTAAGGTTATATCTTGCATTTAGTTTGAAGATGAGATATACAATCCTGTGGCTTATGCTGATAATTTCAATTATATTTTGTGTGCTTTCTATGTATAATGAATCCTATTCAACCGTTTAAAGTGTCTTCTTCACCTCTAAAATGAAATACGTGTCTCTAAAATGAAATGAAATTGAAGAGTAACTTGGGCTTCTCCTTTTCGTCTTATTTCACTGAGGCCGATGATGTCCCATTTTATGTTTTTCAGCTCTTCCTCCAGTTCCGTCATCTTCTGGTCAGATGTAAGAGTTCTAACTGATGTTTTGCCGGGATTCTTAGCACTCTCTGCTCCAAACCTGTTCCAACCGCTACCTTGGTTGGCGGTGTTGGAGCCGTGGAAGACTGAGGGCCGTTCAGTAGTTTCGTCTTTCATGGAAAATAACTTTTGGGGTTTTAAGCCATTAAAACGCCACGCTTGGCTAGTGTGTGTTGGCGAGTTGGTTTGGAAGTGGGGGAAGGAAAGGGTAGAGATGGAATGCTTTGAGTTTGGATATGGTTTCCCCGGGAATGGCAGGCTGGGAAATCCATTAGCTCGCGTGGGCAGGTGTGCTACTAGTAAAGCAGATCTATCCCCTGCCTGGATCGCAGAGAAGTATCCACCCGCGACCCTGTGATTAAGTGTGAATAAAAGACACAAACCGTAAAAGCCAATAATCCTTCAAATACAGAGTGGACCAAAGGTATGGAAACACCTAATTATCTATTAAATGGATGGTCCGATTTGTACAAAAACGGGATACGAATATTCTGCAATATGGAAAGTTCAAATTTGATGCCTGCACTGTTGTCAGATTTACCATTTTTATGACATCATTCGCCACTTTGGTTTTTTAAATACAACACGCTGTATACTGTATTATTATTGTAACCATCACTTCAATAAGAGTTCAACCACATGTAACACTTGGTATTTTATCTAGCCACCAAGGTCTATAAATAAAAATTTTCAGTGCCAAATAGTTTTGACGTAGTCAGTAAATATAGAATGCTGTGATTTTGGCATTAGTTCATAAAACTAATAATAGCTTAACGTTTATTGAAAAATAAATTGTATTAATAACTAAAGCTGACAGTTGTTTTATGTGTTCTTAAAAGCTCTACAATATAGATGGTTTTTAACTAGAAAGAGCGAATTACCATTTTAATGATAAGGTTTAAGTAAAAGATGGCGTTCGAATAGGTAGACCAAAAACTGTTATAAATTGCAATCAAACTTTAGATTTAATGCAGAGTTTCGTTAAGGGTCCACGTACATCCTGATACAGAGCTGCACAAGTACATATTGTAGGTCCTTCGTCAGTCTTGCGTGTATTGCATAAGAATTCATTTAAACCATACAAAATCCAGTTACTATAAAGATTAAGTAGACATTAATTTAACAGTGTAGTAAACTTTTAATTATTATGTTCAAATTTAGTTGTACATAGTTTGAATAAAAAAATTATTTAGACGATTAGCGGTTTCTATGCTTTTATTTTTTTTTTTTGAGATGTTCCTGACTAGATAAAATCAAAAATATTGTATACGGTTGTTGCAACTGGTATCAAAGTGAAGATTTCAATCAAGGAACAATATACAGGGTGTTGTATTTAAAACACCAAAGTTATTAATGATATCAAAAAAATCTGGTAAATCTGGCCACATTACAAATTTCAAATTTTTATATCTATCCCTGTTTTTGTATAATTCTGACAATCCGTATAAGAGATAATTAAGCGTTTCCAAACTTTTGGTCCACTTTGTATATAAATTAATTTAATAAATTAATAAATACTATTTTAGGTGGTTTTTGTTTTATCCGGTAGCGACAATCAAATACATATATTTAGGGAAAACAATGAGGAACACAATTACAAAGAAATAGACAATCAAGAATATTTTCCGGAATTTACTAAAACCCCAAGTCCCGTGATTTGGATAGATGTGTATTATACTCAAGATTTTTCAGAGTAAGTTGTATTTTTCATAAGTGTACTAGATAATAACTCATACTACTATTTATTTAATTTTGTTTAATTTTCATAATTTTTTATAATTTTATTTAATTTTATTTTGTTTTATTTTATTTTATTTCATACAAATATTTTAAAATCAAAATTAGCCAAATCGACCTAGTCGTTCTCGAGATGTTACAAAAAAATATATTCTATAAAATTATAATAAATGTATGTATATTATTATGTACATTACATTTCGGACATTAATTAAACATAATATCATTTCAAAACTGATTACGATATTTACTAAGACTACAGACTTCGATAAGGCATGATGATCATTACACAATTTAGATTAAGATTTGTGTTTAATCTCAATCTAAAATTATTGAAATGGCCTATGGAATGAATTAATATTTTTCTTATCTATTTAGACATGACAGCAGGTGGCAATTAATCATTCCGTCCTATCTCTAGCAACTCCTCTCCACCCTTTAACTTCGATGGATTTTAAGGCAAATGGTCATAAAACAATTGGATATGCGGATGATTTGGTAATCATCTCGCAAGGAAAGTACAATACGGTAGTCAAAGGTCGCATAAACGAGGCCTTAGAACTAGTGAGACAATGGACTTATAGAGAGGGGCTAAATAAGTCCACACAAATCCACTATAGTCGCTTTCACACGCAGATAAAATCTAGAGTGATTAGGTCCTCTAAAGCTGCAGAGACAAGAAATGCAGCTAAAGGGAGAGATAAAGTATCTCGGGGTTATACTTAACTAGAACCGACAATTAGAAAAATAACAAGCAGTGCAGTGACAAATCTTATGAGAGTCAGACGCATGTATGGGAAGAAATGGCATTAAAACCTGACATGTGCACTGGGAATACACCATGGTGATCAAACCCTCGATTACCTATGCAGCGACGATGTGGTGGACTAAAGGCACTTCAAACAGCTGCAAAAGCCAAACTCAGCAAGGTGCAAAGACTTGCGTGTATGGGGATAACTGGTGCCATGCGTACTACTCCAACAGCAGCTATGGAGGCTCTACTCCCTTGCATTTGATAATACAAGGAGAAGCAAGAAAGCAAGATTGGGAACCTATATAATAAAACAATCACTGAAACTTTTCGATGAAGGGACAGAGCATATGAGTATCACAAGACTGTGTCAAAGGACAGCTTCTGTCTATCTACCGAGTTATAAGTTACCTTGAAGTCCACGAATATATGGTGAGTGTCAACGACAAATTCTAAGATTTCATTAGGTGATCAGTTGTTATCCCCCAACTATTTGATCGGGGGAGCATTCTGCTGTATAGTATATTCATAGTATGCCATGTTGAGAATGGTAATACCTCTATAGTTGTCGCATACCACTATGAGTTCGGCAGACAGATTATCCGTCCTGGGCTCCGATATTTTTAATTTTGAAATGGCCTCCCGTATTTCTTGCTCGGTGAAAAGTGACTCTTGCGCATTTTCATTTGTTCCGGATTTTGCGACTTCTAATCGGAGTTCTTCAAAATGTTTAGCCCACCTGTTCAATATGTGTTCTTTGTTATTAATTATACAGTCGTCCTTATTTTTACAGGATCGTATTCTAGATTTGAATTCTTTTATGGCGAAATGTCGAAACAGTTGACCATTAAGATAAGAGTACAAGTGCAAAATGATCTATCGGCGCAAAAATTTGCCAAATATTTGCTAAATATTGGAAATGGTAAAATAAAACTGCATCCAAATACACAATGCATCAAACTTATAGATAATTTCTGCACTTTTGTTGGGACCAAACATGAATTAATTGTAATTGTCTTAGCTCTGTTAAATAAATTGAACATAATATTAGTCGTATAATAACCAAACCATAGCAAAGCGTGGCCGGGTCAGCTAGTCTCTATATATAAAAATACCTGAGACAATGAGCACAGAATACAACGAATAGATGCATCAATAGTTATGAAAGAAACAGATATGAAAAAGAGAGAAATCAAAGGAGCAGCTCTTTGCTTAATGAAAAATTGTGTAGCAAATTCCTCAGCAGAATGAAGCAAGCTCTGGATGCTACTACTCAAATAAGAAGTTAACAACAAGAATATACCAACATTAAGTGATTAATAGAAAGTAGTATCACATCATCTATAGGCGTACACAATACATTATGCAACACACAATACATAAACATAATAATACATGAAGATATAATACATAGACGCATAAACAATCAGAGTTGATAAAATCAATGGCTATATGCGTAAAATATCGAATTTTTTTTAACAATTTCCGGAGTGAAAATCGAAACCTTAAATAAAAATTATATAATGTAATTTTCATTACAGTCAATTATGGCTTAATCCCATATAAACATAATTTTTAACTTGGACATACCAAAAGAAAACAATTTGAATACCTTTTTAATGTTATTAATCTTGTTTCGTTTGCCTGGTCGTTGCCAAAAGATCCATCCGATTTATTTTTCCGAAATTTTCGGTAAACAGTAACGTTTTTATGGGAGCGGGGAGTTAACCTACTGCCCAAACTCCACCCTGGGGGCCAGGGAATCTTCTGTCAAGGTTACGATACCTTATTCTATTTTTGTTCGCAGGAGGTATTTATATTTCCCTCCTACCAGCCTGTCCTAGAATCGGTTAGGGCATTCCTTATCCACCACCTGGAGACGCTTCCGATAGGAGATAGACAACTCCACACGGATGAAAGTCAATAGATATAGATCAAGTCAGTCTCATACTGGTAATAACAAACTAAGATATTGAAATAATAAGAGACTGAATGTAAATGGCAATAATTATGGTATAGATGCTCAGACTATACAAAGAAACAAGTAACGGCCATCAACCAGTTGCACCAATGATGATATTTGAGTAACGTGAAAGGTTTATTTTCGGCAAAAACCGTCTGCTATAAACCCGTCGTACTGCAGCTAATTGATTTATTATTATCTTCCGTTCGTTCATGATACCCATTTCAGTATTCTCTGCAACAGATTGTGCAGCTTGCCATGGAACCAATATACATTTGGCATGTAGCTTGACCAGGTGAGAGTATTTTCCCAGTGAGAGTTATGTTGTCTTCGGATCTAATCTTTCCGATCGCGAACGATGCATTTTGACACCTCCTCCTGCTGTCCTTGTAGTGAAGTATTTTGTAGCTGATTCTCTTCTGGATAGTTAATCAACTTTTTCATTGCCGTGTAGTAACCGTAAACTGGAACCTATACCAGTGTAATACTTTTGCAAAGTGCAAGTAATCTCTGCATGGAATATAACGAATATAATTCTACTAATGGAATAGAAATGTTTACATTTTCAACCGCTACTTTCATCTGACGCTAACTAACGCCATTTTTCAACCGCAACAGGTGCTAAGCATACAGTGGTAACTCACTTTATTTTTTTTTTATATATACTTTTTATATCTCAATGTAGATAACTTAAATAATGCAACCAAAAGTTAAGATGAAGTCATAAAAATAATTCTTTCATAGTTGATGTGAATCGATGATTTTCTTAGTTCTTTTTCACTAGTTACTATTATATAAATATATGTAGATTAGACCACGTGTTCTGTTGCTTTGCTAATTTTTATTAAGTCTCTAAATGTTATTAGTTATTTGATTGTTTTATACAATGTCACCTATGATGTCCATTTATCTGAGTTTTTGTACTAACTTTTTTAATACCATTGACAACTACATGTCTTTTTAAAGGTAACTATGTAACATCTTCTCATGAATGTGTGGTTCTCATAATGTAAAATTTTTTAGTGAAACTGATGATGCTTCAAATTCGATAGCGAAACGTCTTCAAAATAGATGAAGTAGTATCAGCTTTGTCTTTTATTTCTCCACTAGTGACCGATATTTGAACCCACCACTCGTCATGAGTGATCCTTATTAATATATATATATAATATATATATATAATATATATATATATATATATATATATATTTATGATGCTATGTCGTGATCTATCCATTACGTTGCTCAGGTTTTCTCGCAGTCTATATCGCATTCTCCCATCCCCTTATAACGATGTGCAGAAGAGGAGGTCCAGTAGTGCCTCTAGAGCTTCTGTTGGTGGACCATCAGAGTTCCTGTAGTTCCAAGGTAAGAAAGGTTTTGCACCTTCTGAATTTTAGGATGACACTTTTTTGCTGCACTTTTGGCGATCATACCACTGATGCATATATTTTGTTGTTGGTTTTACCACCATATTTTAAATCTACATTTTTCACTGAGTGCCTACCATTAAGGTAGTCCCGCTCTCTTGGTTATTCGTTTTATCTGCTGATTCCAAGTAAACGTCAAGTTTAATGTTATCCCAAGATACTTTACTTCACTTAAATTTAGATTTGTATTATTCAAATTTAGAGTAGCTAATCCCTCTAACTTATATCTTCATCAAAAAGCAACAATGTCATTTAAGAATGAACTGTCCTAGATCTTCACAAGTTTGAATGCAGTATTACATTGCAGTACTATTTAGAATGGCGGTCACACAACCTTCGATTCAAAGATTGGAATTTCTGAAGGAAACATGAGTAGACTATTTTCGATACCTATTTGCTAAAGGTGACGATAATGAACCACCAACACCAGAGGTGACGACAAACGAAGAAATAAATATTGAGGAGGAAGATGTAAAGGAAGCATTAATGAAATTAAAAAATAGAAATTCACCAGGAGAGGACAGAGTACCGAACGAACTCCTAAAGTACGGAGGACCAGATCTGACCAAACAACTATTAAAACTAGTCAAAAAAATAATAAAACAAAAGAATTCTTAAGAATGGAGTCAACTTATACCTCTCTCAAAAAGGAGACAAATCGGACCCGAAAATTACAGAGAATTAATTTATAAACACAACAATAAAATTTCAAACCAAGTGATAACAAATAAACTGAAGAAAATTAAAACACTAGCAGAAGAACAACAAGAGTTGTAGGTCGGGAAGATCATCGCACCCGACGCTATATTTAG